ATTCATGAGCCCTGATGATAAATTCAGTTTATCACCTGGGTATTTTTTTCCTCCCTAGAAAATTCTTTTATTGGGCTGGAGTTGAAGCTAAGTGGTAGAGTGCTTGCCTAGAACGAGCGAAGCCCTGGGTTCGGGTCCTCAGCACCACATGTAAATAAAATGAAGGTATTATGTCCAATTATAACTAAAAAAAAGAAAAGAAAATTCTTTTACCACATTCACTCAACTGGAACTCCTCTTTTCAACTCTGATTACCAGTCTTGTGTCGTGGGCCCCAAGGCAACACTCACTGAGACCCCCTCTGATCTTCTCAATTGCAGGCAGGACTCCCTGCTCCCTGTAACCACCCCTCAGACCCAGGAATGGAGCCTCTTATGGCTCCCATCTCACCTTTCCAAGGCTTCTCATGTTTCAGAGCTCAGCAGAAGACATTGCAACTTCCCAAGTTCCCTTCTGCCCTGTGGCTCCTGAAACACCTCAGTAAAGCACCTTGGCCATGCCCCTGTGGAGAGTGGCCCTGGTGGCCAAAGGCAGGCACTGTCCCAACATTGCACCCCAGACCCTCTCTGTCCTTGGTCACATTCACACAGAAACATGAATGAACAGCAACAGAAAATGGCCTCAGAACAGAGGGACCAGCAGTTTTGCCCAGGAAGATTTGGGAGATGTTATTTATTGTGGTCACCGTTAGTTGGGACAAAATTGAAAACGCAAGATGAGTTTGGTGCTTTGGAAAGTGCACAAGCTGCCAGGGAACTCTGTGTTCCTTCATCACAAGAAATAACAGAAATTAATGAAGCACTTGCAGAAAATTCAGAGCTGTCAACAAACCCCTTTATCAGCTCGTTAGCTGATAACAATGACATTGAGTAACCTTTCAGAACTAGATGCCTAGTAAGTGCAGAATATGAGAAATACATAAAATCTGTAAGCCTACTGAGGAGTGAAAGCAGGTACCTAAATAAACTGGTGTGAAATCACCTATTCCAGCATAGCTGTCTTAAGTTAGTGGTGGACAGAAGGGTTACAGGAACTGTTTTCAGGAATATCAATGGGAAAGAAACTACTCTCAACACTGCTCCTGGAAGAAAATCCTTCCCTTCCTAACAATTTCAGATAAACAAAATATACACCTTAAAAAAAAAAACACCTTATGATTTTTAGAGCAAACTCTAAGCTCTGGTATTCAGAATTCATGAAATTATCCATGATCAAAACTACCTTTAAAAATCATGCGATTCAAAGATAACCCTGTTATCCTTATATAATTTTGCAACTTGCTCAAATCCATCCCTGGATTTGGTTCAAAATACTTAATGATCTTCGGATTAGAAATACCTAGGAATGGAGGAACGTGTTGGTTGTACAGCGTCAGATGAAGAACAATACTATCTTAATTGTACAATATGCTGCATTCGCTGGTACTATTTTTACACAATGAAGAAACCGCTTTGCAGTAAAATAAGAACCAAATAAAATATTCAGCTTCTTCATTTTAAAAGAAAGATCCTTTTGTGTTGGTGAAGAGCTTAAGGGACAGGTAGCCTTAGGGAAACAGCAAGCTTGGCTTTCATTCAAAAGTCAGGAAGAGCCAGGGAGGAACATCCCTAGCTGGTACCACAGCCTGGTCCATGATTCTGGCCCAAGGACAGGCTTGTCATATGAATATCTTTCAGGGAGGGTATTTCAGAAGGAAGCCCTCTGTCCCCTCTTTTCTCCAGCCCTGGACTCTGCAGAGAGAGACAGATTAATTCCAGAACATTCCATTCCATAAAAGACTGTTCATTGACCTGTCAGAGAAAACTCCCCTTAAGCCACCTCCCCTCTGGATCCTCTTTGCTTTAGTGTGCCCCTGAAAATCTCACCCTCTGACTGGAAAATGAAATCAAGCCATTATTTATTTACAACCCACCTATCCCAAAGTGAAGAAATTGTACAGACAGTTTGGCTGGTCTCTGTAATTCTTAGAATAACACTTAAATTCCTAACAAACTACTGTACACCCAATCTGGGTGAGTCTCAGATGCATTATGCTAAGGGAAATAGTTCAGACTCAAAAGGCTACCTACTGTAGTTCCATTTATATGACATTCTATGCCAAGTAAAACCCGGGTAGGGTGGAGTAGGGGGACAGAAACAGTGGTTGCTAGGGCCTGGGGCAGGGGTGTGCAGAGGGGATATGAGGGAGTTGTTTGAGGTGATAGACTTGTGAAATGTCACGTTTATGATGGCAGTGACATGATTCTCTGCTTTCATCAATACGCAGAACTGTGCCCTAAAAGGTCAAATTCTACCTCCACGCATATTAAACCTGACTTTAAAAAAATTAAACTCCTATAATAATTACATCAGCAAGTCTATTCTGAAATAAGACAAACCACAAGGAGCTATCAACCTGCGTGAACTCTCCACTAACCTTTGAAGGTGGCAATTGGAACTCCATGTCCATAAAGTCAAATATGTCAAAGACAGGACCAGTGGTTCTTGCAGAAGGTGCCACATGGGGAAGGGGGTCCGACCATGGAGCCGCAGCTGGCTCACTCCGCCTTCCTTTCATGGAATGGATTCAACAGTGTTCCTTCGCTGTTCCTCAGAGGCAGGCACGAGCTGGGCCAGGCGGACGCTGCTGTAGAGCAAGATGGTGCTGCTGCTCATGAAGGGCACATCCTCTGGTGCTCCTGGGAAGGGGCAGGCTTGCTGCAGAGACGTAAAGAAACAGTAACAGAGCAGGGAGAGGACTCGGGCCTGAGTGTGTCAGCCAGCCAGGGAGGGAGAGGAATCTGAGGACCTTCCTGGAGGAGGAAGACTGTAGGGTGATGGAGCCCAGGGCTGGGGGGGCACTGAGGGTAGAGAATAAGACCCAGTTCCCACCCAGCTCCCCTGTTTTCTGCTCCCAACACACATCACTTCTGTGACCCCAAAAGATGTGGGGAGGGAAGGAACAAGCAATGGATTCTGTAGAGGCCACCTGCTCGGCAGCCTCCAATTCAATTCAACTCAATTCTGACACTCTGCCTGGAGAGTATTGGATCCCACAGGATGAAGGCTAGTCCCACCAGACTGTCCCCACTTTAGACACCGGTAGCAAGCTGTGGGCTCTGGACCTTCTGACCAGCTAGCAACCAATTCAGATTCCCAGGAACACTTCCTTGGGTTTGATTAATCTGCTAAAGAGGCTTACAGGACTCAGGGAAATCTATTTACAGGTGTATTATAAAGGACATCACAGAGAATACAGATGGAGAGATTCGCAGGGCAGAATGGGAAAGGGTACAGAGTTCCCATGCCCTACGGCCTCATAAGAGTCCCTCTCTGGGCGCCCTCCAGTGCCCTCTAGGAATTTCCTCATGGCCAGCTAAAGGCAGAAAGGTGGGGTAGATTAGTGTTTTTATGACTCACTTTCGGGGAGAGAAATTCAAGTTTTGGAGTCTGCCTTGGGAGGGACCTGTGGACCAAACAAAATAAACAAACAAACAAAATATATGTGTGTAAAAATATATATATATGTGTGTGTGTGTGTGTGTGTATGTATTAATATCACAAGATTCTTCTGCTTGCTTCCTTCCTTCGGCCAGTTTGAGGACCTGCTCTGCAGAAACACAGGCCATAGAGTGGGGGGAACAGCCGATATAATTTGGGGCCCTCAGAAGGTTTTAGAATTTAATAAATCTTTGATCAACAAATGAAGAGATTTCTGATTAAAAGAACAAAAGGTCCTGGGTGCTTGGGCTTCCTGATTTCATCAGCTTTAACCTGGGTCTCTGATACTTTTTACATCAGTAAAAAGGAAAATTCTGGTGCCAAACAGGGAACTATAACAGCAAGTGACGTGACTGTCCCTAGACTCTCCCGTTAGATCCCATCAGTCCTAACCACCTCACCTTCACTCTCACATGGTCTGAGTTCTCTGTTCTTCCATCAGGGAGATTGCTCCAGGGGATCCAAGTGGCTGTTCTCACACTTCACTGTGGGGTCAGCTTGCTAAATTACATAGAAAACAATTTCTTTTTTGGGGGGTGGGGGGATGGACAACACTGGGAATTGACCCAGGGACACTCTACCACTGAACTATATCCTCAGCCCTTTTTATTTCTTATTTTGAGTCAAGGTCTCATTAAGTTGCAGAAGCTGATCTCAAACTTGAGATCCTCCTGCCTCAGCCTCCGAGTCACTGGGATGACAGGTGTGCACCAATGCACCCAGCATACCAGCATAGGAAACAATTTCTAAATTGCCTGGGCATATTTTCCTATCTATGCCAATCCATCTATGTCATCACCATATGCAATAGGAAGAGACTCCATCCCACAGCACAAATCACTAGTCATTGGCCATACCAGCAAAGAAATCTGTTCCTAACAGATTCTATGTAGGATCCTCAGATTCCTCTGGACCAACAGAGCTGTGACCACTCCATCCCTCAGGCTGTTTCCATATACCATTTACCTGTATCCATTACGAAGATGGCCGTTTCATTCTCAGAGGGCCTGGTGTCTAGGTTTTGGGCAGCATTAATTATAAACATCAGCACCAAAGCTACTGCTCAATTTCAAATATGTGACTATTTCTGAGATTTAGCCTCTGGGTAAATGAAATTTCAGTGTTTCATCATTACTCTGTTGATGGCAGTAATGAACTTGGGAATGACTCCTATTTATCCATCTTCTTACTAGATGTGGGCAGACGTATTGTGCTTAATTACATCAAGTAGGGTGGGAAATCATTCCTTCCAAAATAGTGATAACCTGGATCCCTTTCCACATAGAAGAACCCTATGGCCTCATAAGATTCCCAAACTCAAGCCTTTGAGTCCCACAGACCAGGCCCAGACACTCTAACTGGACTTCTGTTCACTAATGTTCCTTCAAGGTCAATAGGAAAGGAGCAAGAATGAAGGGGATCCCCAAAAGGACCCTGTTTCCATGAGAGGGCAAATGGGAAGGGGCATAGGAGGACATCTGCAAACAGCGGGTCAATGGAAGGGGGACTCTGTCTTTCAGGGTTATCTGTCAGAGGGGTTGGTGACAAAGTGGTACCGCTCTCCACGACTGCTCCTGTCCCCCAACAACTACACAAAAGCCATCGACATGTGGGCAGCCGGCTGCATCCTGGCCGAGATGCTCACGGGGAGAATGCTCTTTGCAGGTAAGTTGGTAACTGCTTCTCTTTAATGTCTTTCTGTTAAGAGGGGAAACTGAGTGCAAACACTTGCTTATCCCAAAACATGCTCCCCTTCTGCTGCAATGACTTCTTAGGCTTTATGGCACTTCTTGGAGTCACCCTATTATAATTCCAAGCAACACTGTAAAGACTAAAATTAGCCTTTTGAGCACAGAACCTTGGCAGTTGAGAAACCATTTTACTATGGTCTGAATGTGTGAGTCCCCCTATCATCCTATGTGGAAATCCTGTCTTAATCCCACCCCCCCTGATGTGGTGGCATTAAGAGGTGGGACTTTAGGGAGGCAAAGCCCTCATGAATGGGATTAGTGCCTTTCTAAAAGGGACCCCAGAGATGTCCCTCTGCCTTCTATCACATAAGGATGCAGCAAGAAGGCACCATCTATGAGAGGGTCACCCAGGATGATTAGGACATAAACCTCCACATGGACTTATTCCATCAGCTTCTCCCAGAGACGGTCCCTGTCCCCCAGCTCCCAGAAGGCAAGGGAAGCCGAGATTGATTAAACACCCACTACAAGTGGGAGCCTCCATGCTGTCAGATTGGTCAGTCCATGTGTGGGGACTCCTCCTCATTCCACAAAAGAAGGAAATCAGAGAAGGTGAGGGCCGGGTCTGCCTCTGGGCATCTGCCATCAAAGCCCTTGCTTTCTGCCCCATCATGCAGCTTGCTGGACTCCCCTGGCTGCCTCCAACATGACACCATTGACCCCTGGCAGGAACAGACAACAGAGGGACTGGTTCTCTGCCCTCTCACCATGTTGCTGAAGAAGTGATTCCAAGCACCAGGCTGTGATCCCTGGTCTGTGTGTCACAGAGGAGCAGGGTGGGTTCTATGAGCAAGAACTAGGATCCTCTGTCTGCAGCTTGACCTTGTGTTCCCTTGGCAAGTAGTCTGGAGTGTTCATTTGAAAAAGGGACCCATAAAGGCCTCCCAGAGTCCCTGAACTGGCCTTCCAAGAATAAGCCCATTTCAGGGAGAGGCCAAAGGGCCCCCTGAAGCTGCAGACACTTGCTCAGCATGCAGCCACAGTATTTGAACATGCTTAGTACCACACAGGGCATCCTGAGGGACATGAGAAAGTCCCTACTGTAGACCACCAGCTTCTGGAAGACAGGGATTTCCATAGTAACCTGTGGGCAGGGGAGGCCCTCTGCAGGTGCTGGTCAGGGAGGCTTCTTGAGAAAGGAGAGGCGAGACTGGGGACTGAATCCAGCAGAGCTGAGTGGAAAGGCCACTCAGGCTAAAAAATAAAAAATGGAAGTGAGAACAGTCTGGGGTCAGAAAAGGACAGCAGGGAGACGGCCCTGACTAGCACCAGCAATGGAGCACAGATGCACTCAGTGGTCTCCTGGAAGATGAGCTGAGTTGCTGAGACACACAGACTGAAGCTCCTGATGGACCAGAACTCTCTTGCTCATTCCAGCATGGCCACAGGACAAAGCACTCGACACACACTTAAGAATGAACACTTGGTTCCATCTTGTCCTGCCTCACTGCTCCCACAGAACCGGAGTAACTCGTTGGCCTCTCTGTGCCCAAAGAGCAGAGATGGTGTGCTCATGGCGCATTCCATACTCAGTCGACTATTCCTGATGTTCTTCCTCTTGAGTATTTTCTGGGTGGAATCCTCCTAATCAGAAATTACATTAAAACTGTTTCCTTCCCCAGCCTGGTAGGAAGTGTGCAAGAGGAGGAACACTCGAGAAGCCAGGGTTAGGCTGCTGTAATCATTAGCACTGGCCAGCTCAGTGTACATCAGACTGGCCCGCTCCAGGCACAGAATCACAGGGGACTGGCTGGGGTCCGGGGGACTACCAAATTCAACCACTTCTTTTCTTTGACAAAACCAAGATGGCAAACAACCTGCAACAGTCATAGAGGAAGTTAGTGGCAAAGTGAAAACAAGAACCCAGGTGCCCTAACGCCCAGGCCAGTGCCATCCCACTGCCCTGTGTTCTCCCTCCCAGGCCAGCCGGAGCCTCTGCGGGGCTTCTACACACTGCAGCCACATCTAACCATCTGGTGTTTGCCTCCCCAGGGGCTCATGAGCTGGAGCAGATGCAGCTCATCCTGGAGACCATCCCTGTGATCCGGGAAGAAGACAAGGACGAGCTGCTCAGGGTGATGCCCGCCTTTGTCAACAGCACCTGGGAGGTGAAGCGGCCCCTGCGCAAGTTACTCCCCGAAGTGAACAGTGAAGGTACCTGCGCCTGACCCCAGGCCAGCACCTCAAGGGGCAGAGTACTGGCTTCACCCTGAGGGCTGGGTGTAGACGGGTCTCCCAGAGAGCACAGCACAGTCCTGGGTATGGGGTCAAGGTTCCCTTGGCAGTGGGCATTGGCCTTCAATACGGGTTGAGAATCCCTAGTCTGAAAACCCAAAATCCATCGTGTTGGTGCCCCAAAAGTTTCAGATTGTGGAGCATTTCTGATTTCTGATTTTCAAATTAGGGATTTTCAACTGGTACCTTCTATGCAGATATTCCAAAATCTGAACAAATCTGCAATCTGAAGCTCTACTGCTCCAAGCATTTCAGACAAGGGCTGCACATCCTGTTCTTCCAGGTCCAGGGCTACCGCCCCTGGAGCTCAGCCCTAGCTGCCTTCGGGCACTTATTAGTGGCCTCCGTGTTCCACCCTGATTTTGCTTCCTGTTCCCTCTCATCATTCTTGTTTGCCTTCTTGCCTCTCTTCCTGTGTCCCCCTTACCTTTTTCCCATGGACGGCAGATTGTGGTAAGGAGAACAGGAGGGCCAGACCCTGGTTCAGTCCTCAGTTCTCAAGTGACTGACTGTGTGCTGTGCATTTGAGGCCCCACAGAACTGGGATGAAGCCAAAGATCAGCCTGGCTATACTCTCAGAGACTCACAGGTCTCTGTCTAGGTGACAGGATCCCTCAGCTTCCCAAAAGGCCATCAATGACAGATGCAGGACAAAAGAGACAGGCCCAAGGCCAAACCAAGGGTGCCCAATTTTGAGCTCTATTTAAAACAAGTAAATATACCAAAAGGGACAAAAGTGATAAAGACAGTTGGCATACATAACAGGTAAAGGGGGTGCTCTGGATGAGGCAGGGGGAGAGGCTCAGGGTCCTACGAGCTTGCCTCTCAACCTCTAGAGGTGCTCCTAGGAATCCTTCCAGAATACCTAGTCTGAGGAGCCCAGCTTGGAATCAGCTGGGCCAGAGGAAGGTGACAGATTGTACACAAGCTTCATTATATAAGAAATGCCTTAAAAACATTGGGGGAGGTTAATTTCAGCTTGGCTTTGCCAAGGACCAAGCTGTCAGTACATGGTATACCAGGCCTCCCTGGGTGGCCACCTGCAGCCAAAGCCAAGACTTCTGCAGGAGGCTCAGGCTTAAAGTGGGGTACATCACTGCTGCACTCCACCCCCTTGGCCCAGGTCATGCTGCCATCGCTCACTGCAGGAGGGGCTGGGAAAGGCAGGCAGAACTTGCTTGTTCAGGGGACCAGTGAAGGCAGAGCTGGGCCCAGGGCTGAAAGTTAAAGGGGACAGATCCAGGTCCAATGGAAGGAAGAATTTTCTACTATCTTGGGATTTCCAGAAGTGTCTGGGCAGCAACTGGAAGATGAGCTGTCAGGGAGAGGGAAGAGAAGAATTTCATCCCAGAGAGTAGAGCAGCCTTGGGGGCCAGCACTTTCCAGCTCCAGGGTTCACTAGTCTTTCTCAGTGAGGATGACAATGGCAATGCTGCTACCAGTGTTTGGTGCTTGAATTCTCTATTGTCTTGTCAAAAGGTCCAGGGCCCCGAGAGAGGGGCCCCAAGAGAGGGGCCAGAGGCCCAAGGAGGGAAAGACTTTCCCAGCCCTGCTTCTGGGCCCTGCCCTGCCTAACCCTTCCAGTCCTAAGAATGTATTAGGTGGATCCTATTCCGGGTCTGCAGCCCCAGACCCAGAAGCACCCTCTGAGTACCAGGAAGTGATCAGTTACTGCTGCTTACCTCATCTGTCTGCTGAGGGGTGCATAGTGACTCTCTGTCCTCCTAGGAGGCTAGTCACCTTCTGAATATATTGATTTCCTGAATCATTGATGACTTTTTCTGCAAAGAGATCCAGGGCGGGCATGAGGGCAGGTTAATGGAACGGGCTGAAGCCCACCCTGGATCCCTTGGAGGGACTGACAGCTCAGGCTTTGAGCTTAGCTCCATTTCCCCCTCAGAACAGGAGTGGCCAAGTCATGGTTTAAGCTGATCCTGAAGAGACTCCAGTGCTGAGGAGGACCACAAACCTCTAAAACAGGCCTTGCCCTGAGATGACCCAGGGCAGAGCTCACAGGACAGAGTGGCCACTGCCCCTCTCAGCATGACAGCTGTGCCTATGTGCAGGACTGAACCCCGACACCCCGTGGGCTGGGGCACTCTTGCTACCCTGCCATACCAGTTGGCAAACAACCACTGCACAAGGCCTCTGAGTGTCCTGTTGACAGGTTCCCACAGCCTAGAACTCTCCTTGATCAGCCACAGAAGGGTCATTGCCTGGCCCAGAGGGGAGCTGCAGCCTGGTTGTTCAATATTTTGAACATCAATCAAGCCACCTACCTTTGTTCCTCAAACTTCCAGGGGCCAAATATGGTGCAAAGAGCCCTGGCCTTAGAGGAGGCCTTGGCCCTCCTTCCCCTCCACATTCTTCTTTTTTGGGGGGATAGGAGGTGGGGGGTGCTGGGGATTGCACTTAGGGACACTCAACCACTGAGCCACATCCCTAGCCCTATTTTGTATTTTATTTAGAGACAGGGTCTCACTGAGTTGCTGAAGATGGCTTTGAACTTGTGATCCTCCTGCATCAGCCTCCCGAGCCACTGGGATTACAAGCGTGTGCCACCGTGCCCGGCACATTCTCCTTTCTTGCTAAGGCTCCCCACTCCCTCTGCCTTCCCCCCCAGCAGCCCTCAGCCCAGAAGAAGTGGGTGTGACTACCCCAGTTTCCCTGCCCCTCGAGGGCCACTTGTGAGGTGTGTTCCACACTCTCTCCAGGTGAATCCCAGTGGCACTGAGCCCCTGGAGACCCAGGAGTGACTGCTCAGCAGCATACCTTGTCCTGAATGCTCTCCCACTGCCCCAACCTGTGCTTCCTGGAATCCCCCACAGAGCAACTGCCAGGCCCCCATCCCTGGCTCTGAGAAGCCAGTGCAGGACAGGCTAGCCACCTCATCACTCTGGTTCTCTTCATTCATATACAAAGTCGCCATGCTGAGGGGTCTCCTTCTCAGCTTGGCAGGGGCAATGTGTGACTTTCGTGTCCTGCTTTGCTCCCCACAGCCATCGACTTTCTAGAGAAGATCCTGACCTTTAACCCCATGGATCGCCTAACGGCTGAGATGGGGCTGCAGCACCCTTACATGAGCCCGTACTCCTGTCCTGAGGACGAACCCATATCACAACACCCCTTCCGCATTGAGGATGAGATTGATGACATCGTGCTGATGGCTGCCAATCAGAGTCAGCTCTCCAACTGGGACAGGTAGGTTCCCGGGGCTTCTTGCCCTGTTGTCTAGAACCACGTTCCCCTGTCCTCTCATTTCTATTTTGTCTCTCATCCTCTGTGACCTTTTCCCCTGTCTCCTGAGTTGTCTGGCCCATCATGTGCTTCCCCTGTGCTGCCTGTGTAGGTCAGGGGCTGCTTTTATGCAACACGGCCACCCTGAGCTCCTCAGCACCCTGAGTCTACTGAATGTGGGTTCGGTATGCAAAGTGGGCCCTTAGTGAGTACTCGCTGGAGGATCTCACTCCTAGCAGGCTGGGAGTTTACCCTTGAGAAGCCAAAGGGAACAGTATAAGAAGTATACAAAGAAGTACAAGAAGTACACAAGACAACTCAGAATTTACAACTGCAGATGCTTGCTCATGTTTTCTGTCATCTACACCTCCTGAGAGTGCCATTAAAGGAGGTTGCATTGCCCGTAAGGAAGCCTCAGCTCAGAGAGGTTGGGAGTGGTGTTCTGTCACATAGCTAATATGTATGGGGCCTCCCCAGTCTGCCTCCCTGTCAGTGCACTGCAAAGCAATCATAGAACTCTTTCCTACTAAACTGGGCTTGGCCTCAGGATCCTTCACAAGTATCCCCTGAAGCCACTACCAATGAATCAGTGTTGGGTAGTAACATTTCTAAACAATTTCTGCCTGGGCACATAATGATCTCATAGATCCTTCCCTGTTCTGACGTTCTTAGATCAGACAGCCACACACTTGGGCTTCGCCATCTGCTAACTCCAGGAGGCGGGGCCCATAGCTTCTCAGTTTAGAAACAGCAGTGGAGGCTCAACAGCTCGGGCTCTGAGGGGACCTAACTGGGAGTCCCACTGCCATGGGAATGTGACAGCTAGTTATATAAGTGACAGATGAGCAATTCCTCCTTTTTAGTCATTTGACAGATGATGGGTTTCAGAATAAGGAGGCACAGAGGGAGGGCCAGGCCAATGCTGCTATTCTGGGACAGGTCTGCTGGTTTGTTGTTGTTGTCAATTGTTGTTTTCAAGTGTTGCCAGAAAATAAAGATTAATGAAGGTTCTCTCATCTGCCACCCCCAAGCTGGGCCTGCCCTGGACTATGTTCCCTGCAGCCCCTCCCCTCCACTCCACAGAATTTGAGGGCATAAACAGTGGCTTATAAAGGCTCATGCTACTTGTAAGGTGGCTATGGCCAGGGCCAAAGTCAGAGAAAACTGTAGCAGGGATCCTAGGCCACTGTCCATCATCTGACCAACACTAAACTGGATACACCTATGCTCCCAAACTTCCCCATCACACTTGCATTAAGGAAAAGGATGGCAAAGGTTGTGACAAGTGCCTTGCTCCAGGCCTGCTCCTGTGGGCACTGCTTCACCTCTTGGCTTGCTAGTTTCCTCTCCTATAAAGCAGCGGTGACACTAAGTCTGCAGGGTTGCTGTGAAGACTAGAGATAACGGATGTTTGGTACTTGGTGTGTAGCAGCCAAAGGTCCGGTCTTCGTATGCTCTTCCTTCTAGAGATCTCTGTAATTCCGAGACCACTCAAGGGAGGAGGCAGTTCCAAGGTCTAGGAGTGATTACTGCCCTATGTGTCAGGGGGAGGAGGGCAGTAGTAAGGCCTTCCCATGCCTCTCTAACCACTCTCTGTGAACTGCGGCTGCCTGGCCTGCCCCTTCACACAGTCACCCTTCTTGTCCTTGGCTTATCTAATTGTCCTGTGTGAGCACCAGATGAACTGCTCAGGAAGCAGCTGGCCAGGGGCTGCTGCCTCCTGGGTGCTTCCTGACTCCCCTCACCCCACCCTGGCTCTGCATAGAGCACCTGACAAAAGGAAGGAGAGCTGACACCTGTCTGCTTGCACATCTGCCCTTCGTTTGCGCTCGGCCATCTGACTTTACTCTCCATGGCTGCAGCGCAGTTGGCAGAGGGCAGCATTCTAAGGATCATTTTGGCCTCTCCCAATAGTGTCGTGATCTTTCTGTAGGTCACATCTGCTCTAGTCAATGCACGAGCTGCAGGGCCCCATCCAGATCCACAATGCCAGGGGCTCTCAGCCCTATGGCTTAGACACCCCTGTAAAACTTCAGAAAGTTTTACAAACTTGCTGAAGCAGGACCCCATCTTAGACCTACTGGATCAATGAGGCAGGCCTGATACCTGATTAATTCCCCTATTTGATTCTAATGTGAGCAAAGACTCATTAAGTCTTGCTATTCAAAGTGTGATCTAAGAAGCAGCAGCAGCAACAATAGGGTGCCTGTCAGAAATGCAGAATCCCAGGCCCCACCTTGGAGCCATTGAAACAAGGCCTACATTTAAATAAGATCCCCAGGTGATTTGCAGGTATATTAAAGTTTGAAGATTGCCATTAAAAAATAAAATAAAATTATGGTATTGGCCAGTAAGTGGATGGAAATGGACAATATCATTCTAAGTGAAATAAGCCATACTCAGAAACTCAAAGGTCAAATGTTTTCTCTCATTGGCGGAAGCTAGAGTAAAAGAAAGGAAACGGAGAGGGAAGGATAGGATAATATAAAGAACCAACCAAATAGAAATTAATAACAAGCCAATGGGTTCAAGTAGAGGAAGGAGAATGGGAGAGGGGAGGAGGGGAGAGAAAAGGGGGGGGGTGGGGAGATCATGAACTGAAATTGATTTCCATGCATGTAAAACCATAAAGCTCTAATAAAAAAGAAAAACTGTGAGGGTCATTATTTAGGAGGATCCGTTAGAAAGTTCCATGAGGACAGGGATTTGATTTGTTTACAGCAGTATCCAGTAATGTCTGGAGCCAGTAAGTGGATGGAAATGGATAATATCATTAAATAAGTCATACTCAGAAACGGCATCTATAGTGGGAGCTCAAGAATATTGGTAGGGCTGTGAATGAATTCAAGGATAAGTTGAACAACCATTCCCCCTAGCTGAGCCCTTCTAGACCCATCTGTACCTGCGCCACCACCTTCCCACCTGGGGAGATGGGAGGGCCCAGCAGGAGGGTCTGGGGGCGGAGCGGATGGAAAGCAGGCTTGCAAATGGCAGGCAGGGATTGGGTTCCCTCCGGGAAGCCATCCCGCCTGGGTGTCCCATCACCGCTTTGTGTGCACCCTTGCAGGTATCCGGTGAGTCTGTCCTCAGATCTGGAGTGGCGGCCCGATCGACGCCAGGACTCCAGCGAGGTGCAGCGCGACCCGCGCGCTGGGTCGGCGCCGCTGGCGGAGGACGTGCAGGTGGACCCGCGCAAGGACTCCCAGAGCAGTTCCGAGCGCTTCCTGGAGCAGTCTCACTCGTCCATGGAGCGCGCCTTCGAGACGGACTACGGGCGTTCCTGCGACTACAAGGTGGGGTCGCCGTCCTACCTGGACAAGCTGCTGTGGCGCGACAACAAGCCGCACCACTACTCGGAGCCCAAACTCATCCTGGACCTGTCACACTGGAAGCAAGCAGCCGGCGCACCCCCGATGGCCGGGGTGGCAGCGGACGCGGTGGCGCACGAGGACGAGCCCGCCAGCCTCTTCCTGGAGATCGCGCAGTGGGTCAAGAGCACGCAGGGCGGCCTGGATCGCGCCAGCCCGCCCCCAGAAGGGCCAGAGCGCCGCCTGTCCTCCTCTCCCCCGGAGAGCCAGACCCCGGTAGACCGAGGCGCCAGCCCTCAGTTTGACCTGGACGTGTTTATCTCCCGCGCCCTGAAGCTCTGCACCAAGCCCGAGGATCTGCCTGACAATAAATTGGGCGATCTCAACGGCGCATGCATCTCTGAGCACCCAGGAGACCTTGTGCAGACGGAGGCCTTCTCCAAAGAAAGGTGGTGAGGCCAGAGCGGAAGATCTAGGCCTCAGCCACTGGAGAGGGAGGCCACCCCAGAGAAGCCGGCATGGCAGGAGGCCACCTCCCTGGCACCTCTGCCACCCTTCCCGCCCCTCTCTGCTGCCTTGGAGTCAGCAGAACACATGAAGGATCCGAGGAGCGAGAGGAATGTCTATTTCTTAAACTGCCTTAATAACTAGCCTTTAACCTCTGGGAGAGGGTTGATCAGGAGCCTGGCTGAGAGGGAGGCCTGGTTTTAGAAGTGGTGGAGGCAGGGAAGAAACACCTCTTAGACAGGAGTCTGCAGTCCCTACATGGGTGGTAGGGTGCAGAGGCAGCTTGCAGACTTAGTTTTGAAGCCATCTGGTCCACCTAGCCTCAACCAATAACTGAGGACAACACTTAGGCCCAGAGAAGCAAAATTACTTGCTTAGGACCACAGGCCTCCTCAGTCTTAGGGTGAGCCTTGAATCCCAGTCTCCTGGCCCCCAGGTCAGTGTCTGTCCACAATATCATATCTTCCTCTTCTGGGGTCACTCTGACTTTTTGGTAAGAAAACTTAGTCCAAGATGTTTCTTCCCAGTCCATCACCATCTGACCCATGCAATGTTCTTTCCTTCAGAACATTGTTTCTTGTATACTGAAATTTGAAACGGAACTAGTTCTTTCTCCTAGTCGCCAAGCATATTTTTTTTCTGGCTCTCCAAGTAGTTAAATGTTCTCATCTGCCACCCTGCTGCATTTGCCTCCTCCCTGCATGGTCTGAAATCTTTGTTTCAGATTAGAGCAGTTTGAGGCCTGACTCAGTCACTCTCCCAGGCCTGTGCATCTGCCTCCTCCAGCAGCCCTATGCACTTTCCTGACATGCGCAAAGACACAGCCCTCATTCCCCAATGGATGTCGTACACGGGTGAGTTTGAAGAAAGCAATTCCAAGAATCCCTCCAATCTACCCCACAGTCCCCCACCACCCCTGCCCACATGCACACAGCCCCTCTCCAGCCTACCTCGGGACCAAATGTTCTTGGCACAAATTGCTCCTTTGGAGGAAAGCAGTGAGGTGCCTGCCATAGATCAGAGGGTTTAGGATGGAAGGTTCACATGGGACCTGTCATCCTTCATTAATACCATCTTGATTTTGATCATCCATTTAGCCTTGGCTAAGAGCAAGCCCTGAAGAAGTGCACTGGAGGGCTAGCAACCTTGGAGCAAGGAGCCCAGAAAGGTACGAAGATGTAGAAGGAGGGGTGCCAACTTCAAGGGCCCTCAGGGGTATGTATCAGCATGGATGGAGACCCCACAATAAAGAAAGGGACTCAACACCGCCATGCCCTCATACCTCCTCTTAGCCTAAGATGGACCACACAGGCCCTCTACAGAAGTATGTGGTGGGGACAAGTACCCCAGTCCGGTCCCTGGAATACTCTTCCATTTGTACCACTGGTGTCCATCTCTTCCCTTCCCCACAATACCCCAAAGATACCTACAGGAAGACTAGTCAGTCTGTAGGGAGAGGATCCCCCAGTGTTGGGCCTGGACTGTGTTCCCCCTCCCTTCACAGCACCTTAAATCTAATCAGCAAACTATGATTTGTGAATTAAAACTTGCAACACATTAGAAAATTATATTTAAAAATAAAATTAATCACACTGATGAGTTTTTAAATGGAAAAAAATGTAAATATGAAGTATTTAGGTTTTGCTTTTTTTTTTCTTTTAAGAAAAGGAAATGTACACCTCTCCTCATGTGCCATTTTGTTCTCAGAGGGCGGCTTTACTTTTTGGGAAAAGGAACAAGCTGCTGATCTTGACCAGGAGTTCATATATAGTTATTATTACAGAGGAATTGTTATAACTACTCATATTTTAAGAAAATCTGTTAAACATTATTGAACTTGATCAGAATGGGCCAAATAAAGTTTTACTGGAACACAGATTCATCATGTGTGATTACATTCATTTATGTCTTATCTGCCCAGTCTTTGACAGTGATTGATTCACTTAGGGCCTAGTTAACTTCTCCCTGAATCGTGAAGTTCCGTGTTTTGAAGGGTTGAAGATGGGGGATCTGAGAGAGGAGAATCTACACAAACTGGAAGTGATTCCAGAACCCTAAGGTGATGCATGGCATCCATGCTGTGGGTTTCTAGGCACATCTTGGAGTCAACTCCAAACCTTCTGATGAGGGCTGGTCCTTTCCTCTAGGCATAAAAGGTGCAAAAACCATAAGATGTGAGGGAACCAGCTGCCCAGAAACACCTGCCTGAGCCACACCTCACAGGTGCCTAAGATACCACCCATCTGAAGTTGCTCCCTCTATAACACTTATGTCAAAACATTTGCTCTAACTTCATTCATTGTTAATATGTATAGACAATAGAGTTTAAGAATTTTGTTTTTGTTCTTTGTAACTTCCCTGAAAGGCCTTTTGGTTAAAACACTTACTCCTGTTGAAATGCATCTGGGCCAAGAACAGTTTATTCAAATCCTCTTCAAAGCATCAACTGAGAGTATTCCCACTTTGTCCACTGTTTCAATTTCTGAGTTACCCACAGTTGACTGCAGTCTGAAAATATTACATAAAAAATTCCAGAAATAATTCACTAGTTTAACATTTCGCGCCATGATGACATTTCATGAAGTCCTGCTCTGTCCTACCTGGCACAGGAATCATTCCTTTGTCCCATGTATCCACTCTGTATATACTACCCACTCATTAGTCACTTAGTTGTCATCTCAGTTATCAAATCAGCTGTCAATGTATCCAGTGCTTATAAACAGGGCTGGGTACTATCCATAGTTTCAGGTATCCACTGGGGCATCTTGAAAGGCATCCTTCCTTGGATAAAGGGAGACTACTGTAGCAGAGACTCTCTGCTAGTGGATAAGAGTAAAGATAGAGGCCCAGAATTTACTTCTGGAATGTTCATTTTTCAAACATGGAAACTTCCAGGGAAAAGTCTCCAAAGGTACAAGAAGGACATCAGTCTTAAGCTCATCCTGATAAGAGGAAGAAAAGTACAGACATTTCAGATAAAACAAAACAAATGTAATATCACTTTAAACAGTTTTGAAAATCTATTTCTGCATTAAACACCTTAACAAAGCAAGAAAATTTAGAGAACTTTGAACTTGTGATGAGAATCAAAGGAAAGAATATGCCAAGGAGAAAAAATGAGGACTCAAAAGAGGAAATCGTTTTTTTAGCCAGTGAAGTGTGAAGAGAAAAACTGAACCCAGTATCACTATAAAACCCAAGCATTTACCCACTGCTTCATTCTGGTTTTTTAAATATGTAATAATTGGAAGACTGTCATACATTTGTAACATTGTGAAATTTCCCGCCATACGTAGAAATGCCAAACTGTAAAATGATGATGTTTGCCCTGGGTCCTGCATTCATTTGTTTCATTATTCATTTATTCAACCAAGAAATCATTTTGCACCTAACTCCAGATGCCTGAGATATAAAGATGAATAAGATGCAATCCTTCCTTTTAAAGAATTCTTATTTTAATGGGGGAGAGAGACAGAACAAACACTTGCTACCTAACTAACTACATTTTCCAGCATGATGATGGCTGTAGTCACCAAATGCTGGAAAACACAATCTTCTCCGCTGGACACCTGTTCCATTACACGGTGTGCAGTGGAGGGGAAGATGTAAAAATGTTTTATCGGAATAGGTGGAGCCCTGAGCTGAATTTAAATGGCTGCAGTGTGAATGAATGGAGCTGTGGGAACAATGGCATTGATTCGGCTGGATTTCATTCTTTAGAAATGCTGCGTAGGCAGTGTTATCTACTCCAGCAGAAAGTAATGCTTAAAAAGAATAAAATCTCACCTTGTATCCATAGGATGGTGCAAAGTGCCTAGGCTATCTAGTGGAAATCAGTTGAATTATAACAGTGCAACATTTCTTCAATATATAATTACAGTGAGAAAACATTTATATGAAGGATAAATAGCAAGTATTTTTGATATTTTGAATTCCAGGTTTAAATCAGCATAATGGAAAGAACATAGTTCGGGGTCCAAATCATGGCTGTCACTTATTAGCTAGTGAATTTGGGCAAATTATTTTACCTGCATAAGCATCAGGATGTCCTTCTCAAATATGGGGAAATGATGGTGTCTTCTCTATATGATTATAAGGCTTTTGAGGAAATTATTTATAAGGGATAAAGTATGTGCCTACCATAAAACAGACACTCAGAAACTGATAATTATTGTTATTAACACATTTAACACATTAAGCATTTTTAAAATGTCTAGCGTTTAAAAAAAAAAGGCTCAGAGCAAGGGCAGAGGCCTGGTTGAAGTTTTCTATGGGAGAAAGCTTGAGGCTCAATTTCAGGCTTAGGCTACCAGAATGTAGGAAGTGGGGTGTGGGGCAAAGGGAACTGAGAGACCCACACAGCAAATAGCACCAAAGAGGAAGGACAACAAATGAGGAGGGTGAAAACCCCATCCCCCAAGGAAATATGTCACGGTTGCATCTATACACCACCGATGTTAGGCTTAAAACTTCTCTTGAGAGAATCCCAGGAGAGTCTGTGCACATCAGAGGAGTCAGCAAACTATTCTCCAAGGCAAAGAGCTTAACATTCCTTCACATGTTATGTGAGCCTGTCTTTATTTAAAATTTTGATAGTTTGCTGTTCATGGATTTTTGGCAGTAATTTTTTTAATTTAAAAATACTGCATTAAAATATTTACCTTGATTACTGAGATTATGGGCATCCTTAAATTCTGCATCTAAGATGGGTGCCTCACCCACCTCGACCCTTGTCGTCCCTGGTCTGTGGCTGCTTCCATCCCAGAGGGGCAAAGCTGACTAGCTGCAATGGAGACCTCATGGCTCCCAGGCTGACCTTTTGCAGAAAAAGTTTGCTGATCCCCAGTGTAAGAGGCCACAGGGTCTCCACACCATTGTGAGTGAGCATGTGGCTGGCCTGGTCTTCTCCAGCCACAAGCATTCCTCTTCAGAAATGTCAGATTCTCATGTGTGATTGTCTTATTTCACATCCTACTTTACTTTCCATCTTTAGGGAATGTCTTCATTTGCTGGTGAGAAGTTACCCTGGCAGCCTGGGAACCCTCCTGCTTGGGCTGAGCAGAGGTCACTGCTATGGTCAGAAGCCAGGCTTTGAGCTAGGATTGTTAAAACAGGCAAGAGGAAAGGCCAACTTGAAAGTTGAGATTCTCGGGTGAAGCTCCAGGTGGAAGGGGGATGTCAGATGTCCTCACCTGTGTGGTTGAGACCAGGAAACATGCACTTTCTCCATGGAGACCAAATCACTGAGAGGAACTTAACCCAGCTAATACCTTCCCAGGAACTAGTGCTGCCTTCACTTATTCAACAAATATCAATGTGGAGTGTGGGTGGGAAATGACAGGTCATCTAACCCAATCCCCTTGTTTTGTAGATGGGTAGATTAAAACCCAGGGGAGGATGGTAATTTGCCTAAAGCCACATAGTGGCAGAACCAGAACTGGAACCCACATAATCTTTCCAGAACCAAGCTCATCTTATTCACCCTAACAGGGGTACAGATGCTGGGATTTACACTGGAGGAATGAGATCAGCCCAGAACATGGGAACCTGCAAAACACAAAGGTCACAGCCCAGCCACCAGAGGCCACATGCTTTATGCTTTATTTGCATCTGCCTGGAAACTGGAGCCGAGGGCCTCTGGCTGCCTGAAGCCCTAGGGCTGACCTTAGAAATGGTATTCTGCCCCTCCTGATATCTTGTGCCTAGCTTGGGGCCTGGCTATGTAGTCAGAAAAGAAAGCGTTAGTTTGATTTCCTTCAGGAACAAATCATAAGATAAGGATTGGAGGGCAGGAGGCAGGGTTTGGGGAAACAATGAAAGGGCAGTGGAGAAGCAATGAGGAGAAGAAGCCATGGGCAACAGTCATGGCCTCCTGACCAGGACACCAGGAGAAAGTGGGCCATACACCTCAGGGTTTCCCTAATGCAGCCAGGCCTCGGTGGACAAAATGCTCCCCTGGGGTAGTGCCTGCCCCAATAATCCAACTCTAGAATCAGCACTCCTGGCTTGGCCCCTGTTGATGTGAGCTGGTGTCAGACCAAGGGGTCTTTGTATCAAATCCTGCTAGCAGACCTCTGGCTTAAGTGAAAGAGCTGTGTGTTCTTGCTGGACTTTAGGGCCATTTTGATTCTTAAGATATGAGTTTTGCCTCATGAAATTACATCAAGAACTTCACTAAGACCACTGGAAACCCTTCCAGATTTTGACACTCGAGATCTTGGCGTTCAAGTTATTTAGTGTCCACTGTTGTCTCTCTTACTCTGCACATTCCCAACTACCTGGTGTGTGAACACTCCTGCACCTCTAAGTCTTTTAGCATACATGGGGGTTCTGAACACAATCTGTGGTCAGGAAGCCAAACACAACCCACTAGGGTAGGACATAAGTCTCAACCTGTGGCATAAGTCTCAACCTGTGACATAAGTCTCCTTGAAGTTTGGCTTATTATTAAAATATAATAACAAAAAAGCTAAACTCTGGGCCCCAAGCCATTTCATTTGCAGAGATTAGCCGTTTCCACTCTACAACCAAGAAGAACCATCTCGACACTGAAAGGTCTCAAAGTCCCTGCAGAAGGCTTATTTATATTGTCCCTTGGGCCAGCTCAGGCTTCATTGACAGATATGAAGCAAGAAGCTCTGTTGTGGGAATGAGGGAGCATAGGAATGATATGAGTTTATGGCTAAGAGTAAAACCTCATTTTCAACAATTTTCTATGCTCTGACTCCCAGGCTGCTAACAGGTAGACAACAAGGTCTTCTCTGCTTTACTTCACAAGCTCAATTCCAAATAGAGTTCTGAATGACTGAGAAATTCAGAAACAAGGATGCTGGGGTCCGGGCTGTGGGTTCCTCCCCTCCATTGATGTTGTCCTGAAA